TTTTCAAAGTAGGTATTGATGATCTTCTGAATTTCTTCAGGATCTGTAGTGATTTCACCCCTTTCATTCCTTATTGCATGTATTTCGGTATTTTCTTTCCTTTCTTGATAAGGTTGGCCAGCTGTTTATCAATTTATTTTTTCTTCAAAGAACCAACTCTTTGATTCATTAATTCTTTGTGTTTTTTTTAGTCTCCATTGCATTAATTTCTGCCCTGAGCTTTCTAATTTCCTGTCTTCTTTGGGCTTTGGGTTTGAATTGCTCTTGTTTTTCTAGAAGCTTGAGATGCAGCATAAGATTATTTGTGCTTGTTCTGTTTTCCTGAGATGGGAATTCACCCCTATAAATTTCCTCCTAAAGACTGCTTTCATTGCGTCCCACAGGTTCCTGTAAGTTGCAGCTACATTTTCATTTGACTGTAAATAGCATTTAATTTCTTCTTTGATTTCATCTGTGACTCATTGGTTGTTCAGAAGAGAATTATTTAATTTCCTTGTGTTTCTGGAGTTTTTGTGATTTCTTTTGTCCTTTCCAGTTTCATGACACTATGGTCCACTATAGCATGCATAGGATAATTTCACCTCCTTTCTTTCACTTAAGCATGTTCTATGTGCTAGCATATGGTCCATTTTAGAGAACATCCCTTGTACAGCTGAGAAGAATGTGTATTCTGATGCTGTTGGATAGAACACTCTGTGAAGGTCTACTTGTTCTAAGTCCATTTGTTCACAAGTTTGGTTAAGTTCTATTATTTCTATGCTGTTTTTTTGTCTAGTTTGTCTATCTCTTTGTGACATTGGTGTGTTGAAGTCCCCTGTTATGATTGTGTTGCTGCTTATTTCATTTTTCAAGTCTGTTAAAATTAGTCTTGAAAGAGTTGGGTGCTCCTGCATTTGATGCATAGTTGTTTATGATTATTATCTCTCCCTCTTGAAGTTTTCCCCTCACAAGTATGTAGTGACCTTCTTTATTTCTCTTGATTGTTCTTGTTTTGAAGTTCACATTGTCTGCAAACAGAATAGCTACACGTGCTTTTTTCTTGGTTTCTGTCACATGGAGTATTGTTTTCCATCCTTTAATTTTCAGTCTATATATTTTCTTTTCAGTTAAATGTAGGTTTTTGTTTTGTTTTGTTTTGTTTTTGTCTTTTTGAGATAGGGTCTTGCCATGCAGTTCAGGCTGGGCTTGAGCTCAATTTTGTAGCCTAACTCACACTGATCCTCCTGCCTCAGCCTCCAAAGAGCACCATGACACCTGGCTAAATGTGTTTCTTGTATATGGCATATAGTTG